CTTCAAGGCATTGAAGATTCAGGTACTGGCGCGTCCTCAACGTCCGACAAGATTCACATGCGTGACAAGCTTGTAGAACACTGGGCGCCGATTTTCACTGCCAAACATATTGATGTTCCCGCTGCTCGTGAGTATGTGAAGGGACTGATCCAGCCAATGTGTTTTGATGATGCACCGCCCCCGACCCCGTCGCTCCATCGTGCAGTCGCCAAGAAGTTTCGTCATTCAGAACCGGGTCTCGACGGCATTCCCTACTCGGCGTGGAGCTCGCCATCTCTTGGTCTCTCGGTGCTCTCAGAGGCCATGATGTGGGTTCTCTCTGGACAGGCGTTGTTCAAGTCATCCAACGATACGCTCCAAGTTTGGCTACCGAAAGGAGATGGCCCTGCGGATAGTGTGGCCGCAGGTTGCTCTCGGTCCCCGCCCTCGGTCAGAGTGCTTGGGCCGCGCAATCCCTATATTAAGATCATCACGGCAACGATCAATGCACGCTTCAGTGTTCTTCTCAAATCCTGGGCCCCTCGCTCTCAGCGAGGCTTTATCCCACAGAGGAACTTTGGAGTGAACATTCTGGAGCTTGACACGGTCAGCAGGGCTTGCTCAGATGTGCCGTCGGCCGAATCCAACGTCCCTGTCTTGGTTGCACTTGACTATGGCGCGGCTTTTCCCAGTCTCTCTCTCAGGATTTCACGTGCGTGGTGCTCAGCGAGATGCAGGCGCCGCGCGCCTTCTTGCCCACCATCGACCAGCTATACTTGGAGCCCGAGGGTGTTGCAATGGTCCGCAATGCACCTACCCATGCCTGGTGGGTTACGTCTGGCATAGTCCAGGGCTGCTCATTGAGCGGCCCCCTCTACGCTGCGGCCACTGCCCCATTTCTCGTCGATCTCCAGCGCCAGCTTGAGGCGCCGAGGAAAGGTATTGCGCGAGCTTGTGCCGATGACATTGGTGCCGCCATCAGAGACATCCTCAGCCTGTCCATCTGAGCGGACATCATGCTGCTTGCCGAAAGATGGGCCACGCTGTCCTTGAGGATCGACAAATGCAACCTCGTTCCGCTGCACAAGCCGTTCTCGGAAGCTGTGGCGTCGGAGGTTCGCTCGCTGCTCTGTGCACATGTTCCATTCTTCAAACGCATCAACATAGTCGGGCCCCTCAAGTACCTTGGGCTGATTCTTGGTCCTGCAGCCGATGCTGACTCGTGCTGGACAGCTCCTGCGATGAAGGCTCATGAACGATCCAAGTTGGTTGGCCACAGTCACCTTCCTGTGTCTCGCTTGCCAGTTCACCACAACACCCGCATCACCACAGTGCTGTCTTACGTCGCCGAATTCCGTCTGATGTCGCAGTGGCTAGTGCAGAGCGAACTTGTGGCCTTGTCACGTTCTTGTCGTTTACCTTTGGGTGCGTTCTCGATGCCCGCATGGCTCCAGTTGCGCTCGGCGGGTGGACCGACGATTTCCCCATGGCTGGCGATGAGCACTGGGTCCCTACTTCGTACTGCTTACCGTACTCTGCCAGAGTTCGAGCGGTTGCATTCGTGGCTCTACCGTCAGCGCAGCCGCCTAGGAGATCACATCTCACTCGCTCAGTTGTCATCAGCTCGGCCATACCCCGCCTTCTGGCGCAGTGAGGCATTCGTGGGGACGCTGTTCAACATCAACCATGGTCCGCTCCAGTCCACGATCTACACACACGGGCTGCTGTCAATTGCGCGACAGGAAGCTATGCACCGTCTCCTCGTCCAGCCCTCTGGTGTGGGCCTGCAGAGGTGCATGACGTTGGCGGTCAAGAAGCACTTTATCTCTCGTCCACTTTGGAACTTACTGGTGGTGCGGCTCGCCCTCTCCCATCCCGACATGTGTTGCGCTGCTGCATCTAAAGTGCCTGCGGCGAGATGGTCCCACATCACGATATATCTTCGCTCTTTCTCAACCGCGTTGGCTATGGCATATTTGAAAACTGCTGCCAACGGATGGGCTACGTCTTCCCGCATCTTTGGTGACCGTGGACGCCTTCCCTGCCGCTTTGGTTGCGCGGGCGCGGCAGACCAGCTCAAACGCTATCTCTCGTGCCCGGAGTTCCGCAGCATCTGCGAGGAGGTGTTTGGCTTCTCTCGGCCTGCTCACCCGCTTGGTCGCCAAGGCCTCTTCGGATCCGCGGTGGATATCGGCAAGGTGGTCTTCGACATTGTGGTGATGCGCTTCGCCTACCATGCGGCGTCCCACGCTGCCCCATCTGGACCTGGTCACCTGCTTTCGCTCGCTCTCATGTCTTGGCTGCTATTCGTGTTGTTTCCCTCGGAGCGCGGCGACCTGATCATGCACCGTGGCGGCGGCCCAGGCCTACGGTGCCAAGGTGCGAACCAGCGGTCCCATCTTCTTCGACGGCCTCTTCATCTTCATCGCCCACACCGTCGTCATCGATAACCTCACCCAGCGCAGAAGCCTCGTCAGACAGTGGGCGTTCGTCTTCCACACTTCCATCCATGAGGACCATTGGCGGCGCTTTCGACCTCGTGAGTGTAGTTCCAGTGGCTGGCCTTGTGGCTGATGGCTGACACGATGCACTCTCACCTAGTGGAGCGCCTACCTCGGGGGCATTGGCAGGCAGAGAGTACCGACCCGTGGGCTGGTGCCTCTCGGGTGCGCACTGCTCACCTGCCTCGCCCCGCTGCCCTGTCACCCCAGGAATTGTTGTGGCGCAATTCCGACCCTCAGACGCACAAAGGGGCCAGTCTTCACATATTGAGGGAACTGAACGTACGTCGCGTCCTCCCTTTCCGTCCTTGGGGCGCGCTTCTCAGCAGGACTCCGAGCGGCGACGACGTGAACTCATCAATCGGGTCACTTGCTGGGCATCTTCTTGGCCCCCATCCATCTTCTACGCTGTCCCCCAGAACGACTTCGACACGTGGAGGGACTGGTGTGTGGACTACGTCTTCGGGGTGCTTCACTATCGCGACTTTTCCTCCCTGTTCGCGAACCGCAGCCCCGCCCTCATCCAAGACATGAAAAGAGCTGCTGAAGAAATATGCGTGGCCGGTTGGCATGGCTCTACTTCTTCTCGCGAGCAACTGCGCCAGCAGCTTCTGCCTGGCATTTCGAAGAGCGACCCCGTTCTCATTCACAGGGCGTTTGTGAAAACCCGCATGCACATGGAAATGATTAAATGGCGTCCTGATCCATCTCGGATGGAGGATCCGAATCGCACACGCTTTCTTCAGTGGATGGCTACTACTACGACCTGGCGTGCAGCACCTGTGTCTTCTGAGGTACCTGCGCCCAACCCGATGTTCTGGTTCCCCAACTCCTCTCTTAGTCAGATGGACGTCGACCCTATGGAGCCCAAGCCTCTATCCACGACGTCCGAGGAAGCCTCTGTGGAGTACGAATACCTCCCCGACGATGCTACAGCTGCCCACACTGACTACCCATCGCCCACGGAGGAGGACCTCCGCACCATTTATGACAATTCTTCGCTGTCGGTCAAGGGCATTCCACTTCCATTCGGGGACGATCTCATGAGCGACGACGAGTACGACTACCTGTTGGAATCTGGAGCATGGCAAGTATAACCACTGGCCTTACCACCCACGCTTCCGTCGTGGCCGGCGGCAGGCTCAGGAGATCCCCCTCCCCCTGGCGCCGATGCTGATGTTCTTGCCTGGCTGGACCCTGATCGTGCTCCACCCGCGGCCTACTCTGCGGCGCCTTCGCTACATCAGGACCGCCCCCCTCCACTGCGACGTCCTGGTCTACGCGGTCACCTCGGCCAACCTCAGGGTGAGGCGCAGGAGGCACATGAAGATCGTGATAACGGCACGGCGACATATCCCGAAGCTCTTCTCCCCTCTGGGGCGCAGTCCTATCGCCATACAGTGTCGCATGATAATGGCTCTGCTGCCACTGCCGCATCTGCGGCAGCATCGTCGATGGCTGGTCTACCTCCTGCGCGCCATGGCGGCGCAGCGCTTGTCGGGCAACTTCACCCTGGACCTCTTCGTCCTCCTGGAGCTCATAGACAGCTACTCCGCCCCCGTCGGCGTCCGCAGGAGGTTCCCAGAGTGCTACTCCGTCCTCGTTTGCCTCCTCGAGTGCGCGCTGCGGGCCAAGGGAGTGCGTTGGGTCCCCAGGCTGCTTACACAGGGTCTTGGGGTTTGAACGAGTCGCCGCTGTGGGAATCGCTGCAGCAAAACACTTTGAACGCGATTAACTTGCTGATTCCCCACATCATCCCTCCGTCATCGACGACCTCTTTGGTGGCGCCTGGTACTTCACGTCCGCCAGCCGCTCCTCCCGTCGCGCGCGGCAAGCAGTCTCGCCATCCAGCTGCTCTTGACCCTGATCAACTTCACCTGGCGCTGCTCGCGCTCCACACCCTCTTCCCCGCCATCATGGAGGACAAGGTGGGCCTTATCACCTGGCTATTACTACATCCTAGCAACCTGCTTGAGGACGACCCGTCTGGTGCTGCGGAGGCTGAAGCCACTTTTCACGACGTGCAGCCTGGACCTGATGATGACGATCTTCAAGAGGTAGTGGAGGACCCTGAGTTCCTCCCGCTTATTCATGAAGCCGGCAACTGGCCGACGGACATGACGGAGTCCGGCCCGAACATCTTCGAGCTGGCCGCGGGGGTCGAGGGAGGTGTCTTCCCTGACCATGTACCTGATGTTCATCACGAGCTTGACGACCTCATGGGCGTCCACACCGACGACAGCGACGACTTCGAGCCCCTCCTCGTCGGTAACCCCCTCGACGGCGACACGGTGCCCCTGAGAGGCATCGAGGCGGGCGCGCGCGCGTCTGTGCGCGAGCGCGGGTGAGGTGACGAGACGTTTCTGGGACGCTCGCTCCTCCTCCTCCTCCCCCTCCCTTCCTCCCCCCTAATCCATCTCTGGTCCCAGGAGGGGTGCCTCCTAGTCCTTCCGACGAACACCTCCCGAGTGCTGGGGGCCCAGCGCCCCCTGGCTGGTGCCCGGGGTCGCTGCGGCCGAGGCCCGCGGACACGTGGGTCTCGGTCTTCTACTGCGGGCAGCCGAGGGAGGCGGGAGCGATCCGGCCCGTGACGCTGGTGCGAGGCCCCGGGCGCCGCGCGGGCGCCGGGGGTCAGAGCGGGAAGAGGCCCAAGAGGAGAGGGGGAAGGAAGAGGGGGAGGAGGAGGAGGAGGAGGAGGAGGAGGAGGAGGAGGAGGAGGAGGAGGAGGAGGAGGAGGAGGAGGAGGAGGTGGAGGTGGAGGTGGAGGTGGAGGAGGAGGAGGAGGAGGAGGAGGAGGAGGAGGAGAAGGAGGAGGGGGAAACGACAAAGCAGTCGGAGGAGGAGGGACGACGGCGACGACGAGTCTCAGAAGGCACCCTTCCTTGTTTTCTCCTTTTTGGGCCTCCTCGGAAGCCCTCGTCGCCACCGGTTGGTTCGCTTCGAAATCCTGGTCAGAACGCACCCCAGGAGAGGTCCGGGGAGCAGCGGCATCGGTGCCTTATGGTTTCTCCAAGGGGTCGTGGCTCAAGAGTCTAGGGCTCCTAGATGGGGTCGGAGTTGATGGGGTCGGAAGATCGCGCCGCATCGCCGATGCGTCGCCGACGCGGCTCGATGTGCAGCCCGATTGCTTCACGTCGATGTCGCCGATGCATCGCCGACGATGCATCGCCGCTGCATCGGCGATGTATCGCGAATGTATCGCTGGTGCGACGCGATCCTCCGACCCTATATGCTCCGACCCCATCTAGGAGGCCTCTAAAGAGAGGGGGGTGACATGCAAACAGGGTCAGTCACAGCGCCGGATCTTGCAGGATCCTGCAGAGGCAGAGCCAGGGGTGCATTGAACCGGGGCTTGGGTGCATGATCCTGCAGGATCCTGCAGGATTCTGACAGAATCCTGCAAGGTCTAGGTCTGACTGACCCGTGTCTGGATTGACCCGGGTCAGTAGATCCCCGAGGGGGAGGATAGGACGTTGGCAGAATCGAGACAGCATCATCGGACCAAGATAAGTCGGGTATAGAGGATCGTCGGGCTTGGGGGATCTAGGAGACTCGTCGGGTTTGGAGGATCGTCGATCGAGACAACATCGAGAAATCTTTCAGGGTCGTCGGGTTTGGAGGATGTCTCGGGCGCCGCGGCCGTGTCTGAGAGCGTTCCGGAACGCTCTGGGAGCGTTCTGGAACAGGGGTCTATGCAAACGGGGGTCAGTCAGAGCGCCGGATCTTGCAGAATCCTGCAGGGCCAGGTGTGCATCGACCGGATTCGTGCAGGATCTTGCAGAGCGTGACTGAACCGGGTCTGGATTGAACCAGGACAGTAGATGCTGGAGGGGGGAGGATAAGACGAAGGCAGAATCGAGACAACATATGACCAATATAGGTCGAAACGAATCTTAGAGGATCGTCGGGTTTGGAGGATGTCTCGGGCGCCGCGGCCGTGTCTGAGAGCTTCTGGGACGCTCCGAGAGCGTCCTGGAACGAGAACGGATTTGTCTTGAGTCTAGGCCCGTTCCAGGAGGAGCACGATGAGGAGGAGGAGGAGGAGGAGGAGAAGAGGATGGGAAGGGGTAAGGAGGAGTGGAAGGATGACGGGGGGTGAGGGGGAGGGGGAGGGGGAGGAGGGAGAGGAAAGCAGGAGGAGAGGGAAGCACCAGCAGGAGGGGGAGGACCGAAGATGAGGAGAAGGAGGATCGAGAAGACTGAGGGTGGAGGAGAAGGAGGAGGAGGAGGGTGACTGGAGGGGGAGAAGGAGGAGGAGGGGGAGGAGGAGGAGGAGTAGGAGGAGAGGAGGAGGATGAGGAGGATCGAGCAGGCTGAGGGTTGAGGAGGAGGAGGAGGAGGAGGAAGAGGAGGAAGCGTGTCGAGGAGGCTGAGCTGGAGGACGCGGAAGAGGCGAAGCAGGGGGAGGGGGAAGACGGCTGGAATCTTGATGGTGACCGCCACATTGTTGCTGCTGCTGCTGGTGATGAAGGTGTTGATGATGGTGGTGGGGATTGTTTGGGCAATGACGAGGACGACGATTGAGACGAAGACGGTGACGATGTTGTTGATGCGGCTGAGGTGGGAAACATAATGACGATTGGCAGCACGACGGGCATTCACATGGTACATCTCTGTGCCGACCAAAGCGGGGAAAGTCGCCTGGGGTAGGCGTTGTGCTTGTACGTCCATGCGGGCGGGGGGATAACGATTGCGGAGAGTGAATTCTGCCATGTGCACTCACAGGGTGATCGATGTTACCCCGAATGTGTAAGAAGAACGCCATAAAACTCTCCCGCCCGTCCAAAACGAAGGGCATCGAGTTCATTGGAGAATGGAGACCCCGTGGCGTCGACGTAGTCGTCGTTGCCCACTACGATTAACCTTCGTAACGGGTAAGTAACAATAGTGGTGAAACATGGGTTGGTCGTCGTCGTGTTTTTGGTATCCGTTGTGGTAGTAGTTGTGGTCGTAGTAGCCGCCGCGGTAGTCGTGCAATTGTGGTTGTAGCTTTAGTTATTCTTTCCGGAATACTTGTAGTCGTGGTGGTTGTAGTAGTCCTTCGTGATCGTGGTAGTGATAGCAGTAGCAGTAGCAGTGGCGGTAGCAGCAGCAACAGCCGCAGTAGTAGTAGTCGTCGTCGTAGTAGTAGTAGTAGTCGTAGTCGTAGTAGTCGTAGTAGTCGTAGTAGTCGTTGTAGTCGTAGTAGTAGTAGTAGTAGTAGTAGTAGTAGTAGTAGGAGGAGGAGGAGGAGGAGGAGGAGGAGGAGGAGGAGGAGTAGGAGTGGTAGTGGTAGTGGTAGTGGTAGTGGTAGTGGTAGTGGTAGTAGTAGTAGTAGTAGTAGTAGCAGTAGTAGTAGTAGTAGTAGTGGTGGTAGTAGTAGTAGTAGTAGTGGTGGTAGTAGTAGTAGTAGTAGTAGCAGTAGTAGTAGTACTGTAGTAGTAGTAGTAGTAGTAGTAGTAGTCGTAGTAGTCGTAGCCATCGAAATATGAGCAATCGTGGTAGTAGTATCGGTAGCCGTGATACTAGTAGTGGTAGTCATCGTCGTAGTAGTAGTCGTAACAGTAGTAGTAGTAGTAGTAGTAGTAGTAGTAGTAGTAGTAGTAGTAGTAGTAGTAGTAGTAGTCGTAGTAGTAGTAGTAGTAGTAGTCGTAGTAGTCGTAGTAGTAGTAGTAGTAGTAGTAGTAGTAGGTAGTAGTAGTAGTAGTAGTAGTAGTGGTAGTAGTGGGAGTCGTAGTACTAGTAGTAGTAGTAGTAGTAGTAGTAGTGTAGTAGTAGTATAGTAGTAAGTAGTAGTAGTAGTATTACTGCTACTAGTAGTAGTAATAGTAGTCGTAGTAGTAGTAGTAGTAGTAGTAGTAGTAGTAGTAGTAGTAGTCGTAATTGCAGCAGCAGTGGTATAACTTATAGTAGTAGTCGAAGAAACAGGCGAAGCTGTAGCAGCCGCAGTGGTACTCGTAGGAGTGGTAATAGTGTAAGTAGTAGTAGAAGAAGAGAAAACATCAGTAGCCGTAGCATTTGTACTAGTAGCCGCAACAGTAGTAGAAGTAGCAGTAGTAGTAGTAGTAGTAGTAGTAGTAGTAGTAGTAGATGTAGTAGTAGAAGTAGTCGTAGTAGTAGTAGTAGTAGTAGTAGTAGTAGTAGTAGTAGGAGTAGAGGTGGTAGTGGTAGTGGTAGTGGTAGCAGTAGTACCAGTAGTCGTAGTAGTAGTAGTAGTAGTAGTAGTAGTAGTAGTAGTAGTACTAGTAGTAGTAGTTGCAGCATTAGCAGTAGTCGTCGTAATAGCAGTCGCAGTAGTAGTAGTAGTAGTAGTAGTAGTAGTAGTAGTAGTAGTAGTAGTATCAGTAGTAGTAGTAGTAGTAGTAGTAGTAGTAGTAGTCGTAGTAGTAGTACTAGTAGTAGTAGTAGTAGTAGTAATAGTTGTAGTAGTAGTAGCAGCCGTAGCATCAGCAATCGCAGTAGCAGTATATTAGTAGTAGTAGTAGTAGTAATAGTAGTAGTAGTAGTAGTGGTAGTAGTAGTAGCAATAGTAGAAGAAGTAGTATGGAAGTAGTAGAAGTAGTAGTAGTAGTAGTAGTAGTAGTAGCAGCAGTAGCAGTAGTCGTCGTAATAGCAGCCGTAGTAGTAGGAGTAGTCGTGGTAGTAGGAGTAGTAGTAGTAGTAGTAGTAGTAGTAGTAGTAGTACTAGTAGTAGTAGTAGTAGTAGTCGTAGTCGTAGTAGTAGTAGTAGTCGCAGTAGCAGCAGCAGCAGTCGTATGAACCGCACTATTAGTAGTCGCAGTAGCAGCGTAGTCGTATTAGTTGTACCAAACCGCATCCTCCGATTGCGCAGCCGCACTAGTAAGAGCAGCAGTAGCAGTAGCTGTAGAAGTAGTAGTAGCAGTAGTAGTAGTAGTAGTCGTAGTAGTAGTAGTAGTAGTAGTAGTAGTAGTAGGAGTAGTAGTAGTAGTAGTAGTAGTAGTAGTCGTAGTCGTAGTCGTAGTCGTCGTCGTCGTCGTCGTCGTTGTAGTCGTCGTAGTAGTCGTGGCCGTAGCAGTACTCGTCGTCGCAGTAGCAATAGTAGCAGTCGTAGTTACCGTAGTAGTGTGACACCAGTAGTAGAAGTCGGAGGAATCGTCTCCGTAGTGCGTACCGTATACTCAATAGTCGTCGTCGTAGTCGTCGTCGCCGTAAATGTACGAAGTGCGTCTCTTATTGCAGGGATAGTCGCAAAGGTGCGTGTAGTCGTCGTCGTGATAGTAGTATCCGTAGCAGCAGTAGTGGAAGCAGTAGTGGCCATAGTAGTAGTAGTAGTAGTAGTAGTAGTAGTAGTAGTAGTAGTCGTAGTCGTAGTAGTAGTCGTAGTAGTAGCAGTAGCCGTGATACTAGTAGTGGTAGTCATCGTCGTAGTTGTAGTCGTAGTAGTAGTAGTAGTAGTAGTAGTAGTAGTAGTAGTAGTAGTAGTGGTAGTAGTAGTAGTAGTAGTAGTAGTAGTCGTCGTAGTAGTAGTAGTAGTAGTAGTAGTGGTAGTAGGAGTAGTAGTAGTAGTAGTAGTAGTAGTAGACCTTAGTAATACTTATACCAGCCGTGGCGGTGGTAGTAGTAGTAGTAGTAGTCGTAGTAGTAGTAGAAGTAGTAGTAGTAGTGGTAGTAGTAGTAGTAGTAGGAGTATTAGTAGCAGCAGTATTAGAAGTAGCGTAAATCGTATGAGCAGTCGTAGCAGTAGTAGTAGTAGTAGTAGTAGTAGCAGTAGTAATAGTAGTAGTAGTAGTAGTAGTAGTAGTAGTAGTAGTAGTAGTAGTAGTAGTAGTAGTAGCCGTCGCAGCAGCAGTAGTAGTAGTAGTAGTAGTAGTTTTAGTAGTAGCAGTACCAGTATTCGTTGTAACAGTAGCCGTAGTAGTCGTAGCAGTAGCAGAAGAAGGAGGAGTAGTAGTCGTGTTAGTAGCAGTAGCATCGTCGAAATAGTATTCGTAGGAGTATTAGTAGTGGCCGTATCAGTAGGCGTCGTCGTAGTAGTATACGTAGCAGTAGTAGTAGAAGGTTAGGTTAGGTTTGCCGCCGATTTTCGCTGCACGCACGCGCCGGTGCCCGGGTGCCCGGGGGTGCCAAGCGGGTGCCCGGGTGCCCGGGTGCCCGGGCGTGCCCGGGGGTGCCCTATAGCCCAATAGCCCTATAGCCCTAGCCCTATAGTTCTATAGCCCTATAGCTCAATAGCCCTATAGCCCTATAGCCCCCTAGCCCTATAGCCCTGATTGGGGTTTTTCTCCAGCATCATATAGTAGTAGTATTCGTAGTAGTAGTAGTAGTAGTAGTCGTCGTTGTAGAAGTAGTAGTAGTAGTAGTAGTAGTAGTAGTAGTAGTAGTAGTAGTAGTAGTCGTAGTCGTAGTCGTAGTAGTAGTAGTAGTAGTAGTAGTAGTAGTAGTAGTAGTAGTAGTAGTAGTAGTAGTAGTAGTAGTAGTAGTAGTAGTAGTAGTAGTAGTAGTAGTAGTAGTAGTAGTAGTAGTAGTAGTAGTAGTAGTAGTAGTAGTAGTAGTAGTAGTAGTAGTAGTAGTAGTAGTAGTAGTAGTAGTAGTAGTCGTAGTCGTAGTAGTAGTAGTAGTAGTAGTCGTAGTCGTAGTCCTAGTCGTAGTCGTATTAGTAGTAGTAGTAGTAGTAGTAGTAGTAGTAGTAGTAGTAGTAGTAGTAGTAGTGGTGGTAGTAGTAGTAGTAGTGGTCGTAGTTGTAGTTTTAGTAGTAGCATTTATAGTCGTAGTAGTAGTAGTCGTCGCCGTCGTCGTTGTCGTCATCATCGGCTTCGTCGTAGCCGTCATTGTAAGTGCCTGTATGCACAGGAAGTGGCGCAGCAGGAGCAGGAGTACGAGGATTGATAGGACGAGCAACAGTGCTTGGCGTACATCTTTCGCAAGAACACGTCGATGCCCGCTGTTTCCTTGCTCTGCCTCGTCTCAGGTTTCTGTGCTCGTGCCAGCCCGCTTGAAGGTCCACGCGTGAGAGTCGCCAGGATATCCACGATCTGGCCGGTGATGACGTGGTGGAGGGGGAGGAGGAAAGACGAGGGAGAGCAAGAGGAGGAGGAGGAGAGGACGAATGAAGAGGGCGTGGCAGGGAGTATAGGGATGACGATGTCGATGGGATGATGATGAGCATGGTGATGATGATGATGATCATCATCATCATCATCATGCTCATAATCATGATCATGATGATGATTGCGGTGGTGCGGATGGTGCTTCTGATGATGTGATGACGGTGATGAAAAACATGTTGATGATGTTGATGATGATGGTGATGATGACGGTGATAATGAAGTTGTTGTTGCTGATGTTGATTTTGATGTTCATTTTGTTGGTGAGTATACGATGATGCTGATGCTGACTGTGATGATTCCAATGATGATGATGACGACGCCGACGATGACGACGATGACGATGATTCTGAGGAGGAGAAGGAGGAGGAGGATGAAGATGAGGATGAGCATAAGGATGCGGACGAGGACGAGGATAGTGACGCTGCTGCTGCTGATGATGGTGATGGCGTGAACGACGACTACGACGACGATGACGACGATAATGACGATGACCATGATGATGAGTCTGATGATGTTGTTGATGGTGCTGAGCATGGTGGTGAACCTGTGGACGATAATGGTGATGATGCTGATGATGATGGAGATGAGGCTGATGCTGATGATGATTCAGGTGATGCTGATGCTGATGGTGCTGCTGATGAGGATGCTGCTGATTACGATGCTGATGTTAATGTTGATGATGCTGATGATGATCATGATGCTTATGACGACGATGATGATGATGATGGTGGTGGTGATGATGATGACTATGATGATGACGACGATGATGATGATGAGGAGGAGGAGGAGGAGGAGTATGATGGTGGTGATGGTAATTGTGATGGTGACGACGCCGACGACGAGGCGAAGAAGGAGGAGGAAGAGGAGGAGCACCAGCAGGACTAGAGGCAAGAGTAGGAGGTGGGAGGAGGACGAGGAGTGGGAGGAGGCGGGGTAGAGGGGGAACGCGAAGGAGCGGGAGGCCAGAAAAGCGCTGAGGAGGAGCAGGAGCGGCAGCAGCCAGAGCACGAGGCTGCGGCGTCGAGGAGCAGGCGAAGGTGCGGCCCCGCGCAGGCGAGCGCCCCGGAGAGGGCAACGCCCAGAGCATGATCCAGTACTTCAACAAGCCCTCCGCCCAGCTCATGCTTTACGTGCTGGGGGTGGAAGGGGCGATGCGAAGGACATCTCTAACCTTCGGTTAACGATTTGTTGACACGACGTCGTCGACACTGCGTTGCTGTCACTTCGTTGTTGACGCTGCGCTGTTGACACTACGTTGTTGACGCTACGTTGTTGGCGCCACGAAGCTTTGACACTACGTTAATGAGACGGGGTGAAACAAACAGCACGACGCATTTCTCAATTCAAGAATACGCACAGATCTTGGGAGGGGGGGGCGGGGGGGGCGGGGGGGTGGGTGGGCGGGGGTGGCAGTGTCCAGACAGCACCGCCGAGGCGCCTCCTCCTCCTCCTCGTCCTCCGTGCCCTGCTCCGTAGCCATTTGGCTCAAGCAATTTGGGCTGTCAAGGAACATCGGTTCACATACGCTGCTACGTAAGCTTTTCCCCAGACGAAGTGTCTTCAGATGCAGATGGCATCAAATCTTGTGCTCGTCTTGCTCGTGTATGCAAATCTGAGAATCCCAGCAGCGGTGAAGATTGGGTATATGTCTTCCGTGTCGACGGCAACACGAGTGCCAGATAAGTGGCCGACGGCAGCTCCCAAGAACGCGTGGATCTGGAACATGCACTCTAGTGGCGATGCAGTTAAATTTATGTATGACCCAGTCATGCTCACATTGGGCGAGGCTTTGCGCGATTACGGGGCAAAAGTTACTTTCGTGTCCAAGGACAATTTAGATACGGATGACAGCAGAAGTGCCTTGTTAGAGAATATCACCGCCGCAGTGGCACGTGGCCAGAAGCCTCTCATTGTGGCACTCGCGTTTTGGTTCACCGGTGCGGATCAACCGTTGTCGCTCTTGCGGAAGTGCAGAGGTCTTGGTGCGTTTGTCGTCTTCTATCAATCAGAGGTGTCCGATTTTAACAAGCACCTCCGTATGTGCGATGGTTTGTGCGACGAGATCTGGGATTTCTCGCATGCGAATCTTGACAACTACCCCGAATCTTGGAGACATGTTAAAAACCGATACGTGCCCCCAGGGTATGCGCAGGCCTTGGACTTTGGCGTTGGCGTGGCGAAGCAGGAGACACATGTGGAGAATGTTGGTTTCCTAGGTAATTGGGGTAGCCGACGTGATGATAGAGGAGCTCTGTTGGAGCCAATTTACCGCGAAGTGTTCGGTACCAAGCTAGTCAGCAAGAATAATATCCACACGACCGAAGATTTCATTAGGTATTTCGCAGACTATCCGGTGCAATTGGTTACGTACAGGAATGAGAATTGTTGCCCAAGTACTAATGCGCTGTTGGCATTCCGCATGGCGCAGCTCATCTCGAATCGAGCCTGTGTTATATCGCCTCCTGCCTACCCGCGTGACGAGGAGGAGTGGCACGGCATAGTGCACTTCGCAGAGCGGTCCCACATAGCCAATTTGTTTGACGAGAAGAGCAGGGATGTCAGCAACTGCCAGAAACAGAGCTTCGATAAGTTCAAGAACAAGTTCAAGCCGTTGTCGATTTTGAAGCGCTCTGGCTTCTTCGACGTTTGGTAACTTTGGTTTTGCACATCATTCTTCGCGTGGAGAGGGACAGCGTCTAGCTCTGCGTGTCTCTCTCTTCCCTCCTTCGTCCCTCCTCCTCCTCGTCCTCTTTCTCCCCCCTTCTCCTCTTCCTCCGCGACGACGCCGGCGGAGGAACATTTCTTCGCCGATTACCTTTTGATTGACTTGCGATTTTGATTGTTCATCCATTGTGCCATTGCGGTTTTTCTTCTCTGGCACGCCATGAATATTCGTTGTCTGCAGGCGTTTGGCCTCTGACACTATCGAGTTCTCCGTGCCCTGCTCCACTTGGGAATGATGGGAATGATAAAAGTTCAGATCGGGTGATGGACTCCTCCGACAGCGACGGGCAGTGTCGCACGGAGAACGTCAGCTGAACAGGTTGAGCGAGCACTGCCGCGCCGTTCCCCCAGTGACTGACCCTCCGCCTCCTCGCTCCCTGAGATAACGGAGACCCTTCCCGACCCCGAACAGATTGAGGGATACTTGCGGAAACTGGTGTCTTGGGTTATGATGTTCCAACTTACTTTAACCTTGACCACCAGAAAGAATTTCGAGCACCAGGAAAGTACCGAAACTCTAGGGTTTTGACGTATCGGGCCCTGGGGGACACTCGTCCGACACTGTTTCGACACTCTTTCGACACTTTTTCGGGTGCTCGAAATCATTTCTGGGATGTGGTCCTTAAGTACGATGGGAGCAACATAAGTCTGTGGTGTCCCTCTCGAGTGCGGAGGGTTCGAGCGGGTCGAGCAGTCGGCACGGCCCAGCGTCCTCCCTCCTGCTTGTCCTCCTCCTCCTCCTCCTCCTCCTCCTCCTCCTCCTCCTCCTCTCTTCCTCCTCCCGCTCCTCCTCCCCCTCCTCCCCCTCCTCCTCCTCCTCCTTCTCCTCCTCCTCCTACCCGTCTTCCTCCACCTCCTCCTCATCCTCCTCCTCCATATCTTCACTCTTATCCCTCTTCCTCCCTCCTCGTTCTCCCCATCCTCCTCCTCCTCCTCATCATCCTCATCCTCATCCTCATCTCATCCTCATCCTCCTATCTCTCTCTCTCTCTCCTCCTCTCCTCCCTCCTCCCTCCTCCTCCCTCCCCTCCTCCTCCCCTCCTCCTCCTCTCCTCCCTCCTCCTCCGCCTCCTCCTCCTCCTCCTCCTCTCCTCCTCCTCCCTCTCCTCCTCCTCCTCTTCCTCCTCCTCCTCCTCCTCCTCCTCCTTCTCCTCCTCCTCCTCCTCCTCCTCATCCTCCTCCTCCTCCTCCTTCTCCTCCTCTCTCCTCCCATCTGCCAAGGCCAGGGCTGCGCAGGCATGGGGCCCGCACCCCGGCATGCATCCGGGAAGAGACCTTGCAGGGGCCTCGATTGTGGGGAGCTCCCGCGGGCTCTCGGAGCCAGCTGCGCACCGCACCGCTGCTCCCGGTCCTGCCGGCCAACGGCCGGCGGCCGGGTAGGGCGCGCAGCCCGCGCAGCTGCAGTCGGCACGAGGCAGGCGGGTCCTGTCAAGAAAGGCCGGGCCCAACAGATCCGAGGCTCCGACAAAATCGCAGCGGCCGGTTTAGGTAGTTTTCGGCCTCCAGGGGCCATCAGTGGGCCCCAGGACCGTCAAAGAACGGCTCAGGATGACGAAGCCAGCCCTAGGAAGTTGGTCCAGACCTCCTCAGGCCCACGCATCGACAAAATTGAAGCGCCGGACGTCTGTGGACGGGTCTTGTCGAGAAAGGCTGGGCAGCTGTTCTCCTGGAACAATGCGAAAGGGCCTTAGGAAGGAGCAATAACACACAGACGCGATTAGACGTCGATCCCCAGGAAAATATATAAAAATACAGGAAGAGGGGAAGCCGAAATCCCAGAAACTATTGACAACATGGGGGATTCTAGGATTTGTGCGTCCCTGGGACCCCTCAGGGTCGCCACCCTTGGGGGTCACCGCCAACTCCTGGAAGTCGAAGATCGCGGACGAGGGAGAGGAGCGAGGAGCGAGGAATCTTGGGCCGCTTTGGGGGCGTCTTTGGGGGTCCTGGGCGGGGCTCTGCTGGGGGTTCCTGGGGGCCCATACCTTGCGGATGGGGCGACCCCCCTCAGTGTCAGGTCGAACGAAAAAAGGAGGAGGGCGAGAAGGAGGAGGAGGAGGAGGAGGAGGAGGAGGAGGAGAAGGAGGAGGAGGAGGAGGAGGAGGTGAGGAGAAAGAGGGGGAGGAGGAGGAGGAAGAGGAAGAGGAGGAGGAGGAGGAGGAGGAGGGGGAGGAGGAGGCGGAGGAGGAGGAGCACGGCGGAGGGTCGGTCGGTACTCCCTCCGGCGACGCCAGCGAAGGCGTTCAAGGTTGAATTTTGCAACGTGGAAGCACCGATGCACATTGCGGCGCCTTTGGACCCGACTGAATTCAACCTTGAACGATCGGGGCTTTGATTGGTTCAAGGCTGAACGATTGTCGCGGTGTCAAACACTTTTGCGCGCGACGGCGCCGCACGAACCTACTGCAGGGACACACGCCGACACCTCACTCGTTTGGTTAGAAAAAGTATGTTCCACATGGCGATCCATCAACGATTGGCGCGAGGCCAACGAAACGAACAACAAAAACATTAGTGGGGCGAGGGAAGGGAGGAGGAAGGGGCGAGGTAGAGGACGGGGAGTAATGCGTGGACTGCAAGGGGCCAGAGCGGGAAAAGGAAGGAAGGCGGACTTGGACGGGGGGCCCTAGGAAGGCGCCAAGAGTGCTTCGATGATGACTTGTTCTTGCTGTTCCTGGCGCTGCGGTTCGGAAGGCTTCCCGGGAGCATCTGGGAGGGGCCCTTTTGGGGTTCTCTCGAGCCCTCTTGGAACTACACCAGAGGCCTGCGAAGGTCTCGAGAGGAACCCTGGGATGACCCACGAGCGGCTCAAGAGGACACAAGAGGAAGACATGCGAGAGGGCTCTTCCTTGACTTCATGTTGATTCCTCTTGGGCCCCCTCTTAGGGTCCTCCTGGGGCCCTCCTAGGCTCCGCCCCCCCGGCGCCGTCCCAGAGGGCCCCGAGACGGCCCCGAAAGGGGGTCAGCGGAGCCGCGACAATCTCACGTGAGCTCAATATGGTTCTTCTGGGGCCCCTCTTGGGGCCCTTGGGAACCTTGTCGCGTACCGAAATTGGCATGACATTTTCGCATGCGCTTTCAATCTCCGCGCCCGTTCAGTGCAAGTGTTGATTGGGAAATCGGTGTTTCGTCTTCTCCCGCCCGTGACCGTCTCGTAATTCCCAAGTTCACTTCGGCGATTGCCCACGCTACTCGGCCAACCCTCCTGGCCCAGAAACTTGAACTTCAAAACTGTGTCATGGCCCCCCCTGGCCCCCTCCCGACAGCGCCCGAAAATCGTTCCCCCTCTCCCGCTGATCCAAGGGGGCCAACCATCCCCCCATTCGGAGAAGGACTCCACGCCCCAAGAAGATTTCCTCATCCCCCGTCTCCAAGTCATTGTTGCCAGAGGAATGCCTGGGCACTCGAGTGAACTGGTTGCTCGCGCCAGCGTTGGATGCCCACTGGTGAGCTGAGCTTACTTCTTTTTCTCGACCACCAGACCTCCCTTGAAGCCTTCCGGGGCTTATTGGGGGGCCTCCGAGGGCTTCTTGAGGCTTTCTCGGGACCCTCTTGGGGCCTTCTGGGGCTTCTTGGATGCCTCCCAAGGCTTCCTCGGGACATTCCGGAGGGAGTCGGGAGAGTTCCGAGAAGGTCCGAGAGAAGCCCAATAGAGCCCCTCCTAGATTTCCAGAAAGCCTTCCGCAACGCAGTGATGAGAGCATCTTAGAGGGGCCTTCTCGAGGCCTTCTTGAGGTTTTCTTGGAGCCCTCTTGAAGCCCCCTGGGCGCTTCTCGGGGCCTTCCCATGGCCTCCTCGCGATTTCGGGATGGCTTCAGGAGGGCCACGAGAAGGGTCGAGAGGACCCCATAAGGATCTTGAAGTTGTCACTTCCAGCGCCCGTGAACGTGACAATCCTGGGGGCCTTCCGAAGGGCATGCTAGCTACTCCCAGGAACGGGATCGTTCGCAATCCCAGATTTCCACCGCGGGGGCGAGGATCGGGGGAGGTGGCGCGACTTGGCGTTGCAAACCTTCGCTTGGTTCGCTCGCGCACGCGCGCGAGCGAAACCATGGAAAAAAAAAAACATGCTTTTCAGACAGGTGTTTTGGCCATCGGTGTATACCTGACTTGGTGTATACTTGATTTTCAATGCTTTTTAGCAGTTTTTCGTTTACACCAATCTTGCGGTTGGGGCGTGCATTCCGTTTTTTTTCATTGGCGACCCAGGTGGAAATGGCCGTCGTCAACGCCAGGTCCGGCCCTCGCCCAGCCCCTGGCCCCCGGCAGGCTTGCAAGACATTTTGGGTAGGGACGCCTCCCCTGGCACTGGGCCCTCTGGAAGCCTTGGGGTGCTTCTCGGTGGCTTCCAGGGTCTCCTCGGGACTTCGGGAGAGCCTCAGGAGGGACCCGAGAAGGCTTGAGAGGGCCCCGGGAGGCACCTTGAGGTTGTCATTTCCAGCGCCTGTGAAAGTGACAACTCCCAGGGCCCTCTTGAGGCTCTCTTGGGGCCTCTCTGCAGGCACCTCGTGGGCCTCGCGAAGGCCTCAAAGGGGTGCCCAAGAGGTTCCGAGACATCGCGGTGTCTTTACACGCCTCGCTCGAACATTGGGGGTTTTCTCCAGTGTGATTTGGAATAGAGGATGGGGGTGGTCCCTCGTGCGTGGGGGTCACTGTGGGAATCGCTGTCCCTTGTGCGTGAGAGGAGGGATTGTAGCAAAAACTGCTCCTCGTGCGTGAGCGGGGATTGTACCAGAAACGGTCCCTGGTGCAGGGGGGATACAACAAAACGGTCCCTCGCGCATGAGGGGGGGGGGAATGTAGGAAGAACGGTCCCACGTACAGGGGGGAGAATTCCAGCGAAAGCGGTCTCTCGTGCATGATTGGGGGGAGGTTGTAACAAAAATGGTTCACCGCGCATGAGAGGGGGTTTGTGGAACACTTGTCTCTTGGTCGTGAGGGGGCTGCAGGAAAAAATGCCTCTCGTTCATGGTTGGGGGAGCAGCAAACGTAGACCTTCGAACATGAAGGTGTGTGTAGTGAATTTGCCTTCTCTGTCGCGAGTTATGTGTAGCAAAGTTGTTTTTTGTCCATGGCGGGAGTGTAGTAAAGACGTCTCCTCGTGCATGGGGTACTAAGCCGTCGAATGAGGAGGGTAGCAAAACCGCCCGTCGTGAATGAGGAAGGTAGCAATTTCGTAGTGTAAAGACGTCTCTTAGTGATGTAATAACCGTCTGTCGTGAATGAGGAGGGTCGCAACAACAGCTATTCGTACGTCGGGTAGGATTGCAGCAGCAACGGTTCCTTCGTGCATGGGGGGTTGTAGCAACATTGCCTTGTGTATGCATGAAGGGTGCGTGAGAGGGCGCTCAAGCGGAGGCACCGCCCTCGTGCGTGAGGGGGGATTGTAGCAGAAAGGCTCATGAGGCGGACTTGTAGCAACAGTGG